GAAAGACGGTCCGTCGGCACACGGATCATGTGCATTCGCGCCCAGCCGATAGGGTCACTGTTGAAGACGCAAATGACAGTATGCAAAATCATGAAGAAAAAAAAACAGTGACACTACACAAGCCCTGTCCGGTTGTGATGTTCCGATTGCGACAGTCCGCAAGCCCGCACGTTCATCAAAACCAATTGACCGTTTCGTCCTCGGACAATGATCAAAGCTGGATTGGGGGAGAGAGAGATGTTGCATACGTGCCCGCGGCTTAAGTGCGTGCGTTCTGCCAGTCTGCTCATCGATAATTTGCTCATTTTACAGACGTTAGCGATCGATATCTATGCAGATCGATCAACCTCACGCATTTGTGTAAGCCGATACTGCCGGCCGACATGGGCCCGATTCTGATTGGCTGTTAGTTCCATGGCTGCCTTATTGAACATACGCTTGATTGTGAACGAGTCATAATAAACCTATCCTACCCTACATGCTGTTGTTCGGCTTTGCTAGGGGGTCTACGGGTCCGAGACTACACGGTGTAAAATTCAAATCTAACAGGTATGAATTTTGGGAAACCAAATACCCAGAGGTTGAAAACAGAATCAGAATCATACAATTTCTTCTTTGTGATATTCCCGTAGCATGTGAAATTCCATCTTGACAGATAGTATGATATGGTGCTGGTTCGACGCCCGGTGGTTCGCAATGTGGTGACCCGGTGTTTGTGAATGCCGGACGATGATCACTGGAGAAGGATGTATGTAGCATGCAAACCCGAACTTGTAAGTTGCTGGATGAACACCCATCTATTATTTCGGAGATCCACTCTCGGACGAAATTATTCTAGGCATCAGTTTTTGTGCACTGGGAATGCTTGAAACAAGCGATCGATCAAGTTCTCCTAATCAATGACTCCGATCGAACAGATTGGTGTACTGCGTACGACTGTACTTTGCCGAGCCGATCAGCCGATCGCTTCCTTTGTCCAAAGAATCGGAAACTAATGATAACAAAGTAAATCGCGGGGCCTGGTTAACCCGTTCAGTGTCGTCAGGCAGGTCAGAAACATAAGCAAGAATCCGCCTAAGTGTACACCATAACAGTGGATCAACGCGGCTCTGGCGGAATGCCATCAAAAGGTTAAAAAATCAGTAATGTATTAATTTGGATTGTGAAACGTTCAGTAGCCTCGGTAGGATTCGAAACCACACATGGATGCGTACGAAGGAAAACCTGTCGGGCATTAATCTTACATGCTAACTGGTGGATGCCATATGCCTCTGTAAGTTTGATGGGCAATTTGTAAGTAAAAAGATCAGCGCTATCGGTGTGGCCTCGTAGCTCATTTGATAAAGCGTGAGGTGTAAAAAGTGTAGACGGCGCCTATGCGCGGGTTCGAATCCTACAGAGGCTTCTGAGCATTTCACAATCCAAATAAAATCTTCAAATCTGCCGAGCAACAATGTGAATAATATTTTTATTTCAACAAAACACATCGGTCCTCGTTCTGTCTGTCTTTGGCCTTGTGGTGTTGTATTGTTCGGTTGCCTTGCAGATTGGTATTGAAAAACCTGCAATAATATGGGAAGGAAACGTATGGCAATCGGGGATTGGTCTGGTTTGCCTCGATGCACAACATGGTGAGGACAAAAAATTTTTAAAATCGGAAAATTATCGTAAGTACCGGATGAAAATAATACGTCAGAGTAACGGAAAATTTTTTGTAAAATTTGTTTTCTTTTCTTTCGTGGGTCATCAGTCACAGTATGGAATTACGAGGCCAAACAGTGTGTGAATGGTTCAATCCCGGTTGTGGAACGCAAACGATAAATTCACGGATTACAAAGACAGTCATTCGGTGTGATAAAGTATCGGAATTGATCACGCAATTCAGTACTTGGTTTTCCCTACTCGATTCTAGGAAACGAGATTAAGTAAAGTAAAATAAAATCTTCTGAATAATCCGCTGGAGAAAACTCACAGAGAACAGTGGATTCGTACAGAAAACAATCTACTGATATAAAAACAGATGAATTGATAGAAATTTCACTTTAAATTGTTCAAGCTTCCTTATCTGATTGTATAATCGACATGGTTTTCAGGTTCGTACTTGTGAATTGCTTTCCGTTATATTGCTTCGTCACAGGTTTCTTGACAGTTATTGATTGTTTGTATGTCGATTGTGAAAAGTTAAGTAGCCGCGGTGGGATTCGATTCGCATGGACGCCGCGTACGCTTTGTACGCGCATGCTCTACCAGCTGAGCCACGAGGCCATACCGATAGTGCTGATCTTTTCACTTTCGAATTTACCCATCTAACTTACAGTCATATGGTATCCACCAGTTAGCAAGTAGGCTGACTGTCCCGACAGGTTTTCCCTAGAATTCGCCAGAGTTCACCGAATGAGCATCTAAGACAAGGTCATTTGTTCAACTTGTGGTTTGATAGATTTGAACAGTAATTGATTGTGTCCACGAAGATGATAAAACTAGCCGGCTCGAACGTCATAGTCAATGGACGACTATACACAATCTGAATCGAAATCCCATGACGTGATGGTTTAGAAATCTAAATGGCATAGATGTTGGGTTGTTCGAGGCATTCTGAAAGATATATGCTCGGTTCTCACCACCATATCAGCCTTGGTGATGATCCACAGTATTAAGGAGGACTAAATAAAAGAGTCAATCTACTTTTGGAGCAGTATTTTAATTGATTTGAGGTGCTTTGTTTAGGCGTAGGGATTGGCCCTATCCCTGAATGTGTTCATTAGGACGTGGCTAGCACACTGTGGTATCCCTGGTGTCACTGGGTTTTCTACTTCCAATATACAACTCCAGAAGTAAGATGATGCTGAACCAATACCTACGTCGTAGCAACAGAGTTATACACACACATACAGATAAAGAGAGAGAGAGACAGTTGTGCTTGCTGGCAAACTGGAAAAGCCCGAACCCCCGGGTAGCGTACAACTCCCATGGTCACAGACTTTTAGTATGCTGCAATTGTCCAGCTAGTGATAATCTGCCGGAAGAGTTCAGCCCAATAAAAGTAATGAATAATGAGTGTGCAATCGACCGCAGACCTTTGTCATGATGATCAGAAATGCAGAAATATATCGAAAACGAGCAGTTCCAGTAAACCCCTTTCATATTTCTTTGATCGTCAACCGACTGGTCAACGCCCACACAGACATCAGTTTAGCCGGTGACTGCAAATATTCGATTATGCGTAAGATTCACACGGAATCAAAGGTAGGAACAGTCAAATCAAGTTTGTAGTAACTCGATGCACGTGGGGGGGGGGGGGGGGGGGGGNGGTGGAGAGTGAACTATCAGTATTTTGCATCAAGGTCATGTGGATGCAAACTGACAGATTCGCGCCAAATGAAATTGAAATCTCAAAGTGGCAATTCGTCGCGTATACAGTAAATGAAGCGTGAACTGAAAAACTAGGAAACACTATTGATTAGCTGTTTCGACCTGGTTGAATATCATCAACAGTGCGAACATATCAACCCAATTGGGGATTGAACTCGGAACCTCATGGGCAGAGCGTAAGCATACTATCTATTCGGTCACCGGGCAGCTGGTCAGACCGTTTTTCCTTTCCCATTTACACGATACAGCACAATCCATCTCAGACCTCGCTCATCTCAGCTATTACCTCCAGAGTTATGACTCGGTTGGAAACAATTACAACAGGACCACCTAATTCAGATAAGTATTAGAGGATTTGATTCAATTTTCGGATATCAACTTTATCAGTAGATTTGCCAATCAGCTGCTATCTCATTCAGATCATCCGATGGGCATGAGGGAAGTAACAAGTAAACTAAACTGGTCAGCACAAACAGAAATTTGAACCATGATGATGATATGGATAAAGATTTTGGAATTTCCTTCCATAACAATCATACATATAAATATATATGTGCATATAAACCAAATGGATTTTAAATTTTGCTCACATATACCAGTTTTCAGTTTCGTCTTATCATGGAAAATTGTTTTAAGGTTTCTGTTCTCGTTTTAGATTTCTGGTGAAATGGAAACACATTTTACACAACAGACTGTAGATAGATAGCACTTATTTTTAAAAAAAATCACATGAAACTTTCAACCAACCCAATTTTCTCACTCTGCATTTCAAAGCTTTCTGTGTTGTTGATTATCCTCTTTGAACTCCTAATTGCGGGGCCCGAACTATTCTGGACACCGTCACGTGGATTACACAGTCAGGCGAGTCGGACAGACAATTTTGGTGGTTTCAACTATTTCTGTCGACCAATCCAAATGGGGCATTATCCGAACACCGGGATTGGTCGGATTTAGCGTGATCTCTGATTGGTGCATTGGGACACAAAAGTGAGACGCGAACAGCAGGCAGACAAGAATACATACTGGCTCAGTTAGTTATTCATTCATTATTTCTTTGTCAAGACCAATCTGTTCTTCCGGGGTGTGACAATGTCCAGATGCACTTCCCTATGATTTACACATACGATGTGGACAAGTGTGCTAATGTGGAGTACCGCCTTAATCATTTTGTCCACCTGGCCTAGTATTGCATGTTGGAATAGTGATACCCGTGCGTCCCGGTCCCATGAGAAAACGTGTATATTTCCATCGGTTCATCGTCGTGCAGCTATTTACGAGTGTCAGCATTCTTCTTGGTCTGTGCCAACCGAACATTTTCACTCGCGGAAACCGATATGGTGGTGTCCATTAACCGACAACTTTGACCACTACCCAGAATGGATGCATTGTCCAGAAACTGCTTCCACTTATGGAGGGAACGAACCTGGACATGCCTGTCACTTTCCATTTGTCTATCAAAAACAGATCCATACAACGTGTATCCGAAACGGTGGTGATCTTGTATATAATCATTCAGATGATCCCGTCCCGATCGATACCGGGCAAAGTGGTTATTGGTGGTGTTCCACCACGGCCAATTTTGATCGAGACCGCAAATGGACACGCTGTCGACCGCAACTTGCTCAACAATTGCCTTGCCATTTTCCCAAACGTTCCACTTGGGCAGGTGGTATGGTCAATGGAATTGCGTATGAATGTCAAGCTTTTGCCGGACATTGGATTTGCATGACTGAATTAGGTCAACTTAGAGAATGTCCAACAACAAACCAGTCCCCGAACGCTATTTCCACTCCACTAACCGAAGGGGGGAACAGTCCGGGACGAGCATGTCACTTTCCATTCCAAGCTACTCTACTTTTACTCACCAAACAGTTATCTTGGACAGAACCAGCGCGTAAGAGAAATTTCACAACTTGTCTGCCAGGCACACCAAACTCTCCTCTAGCCGGGGTTTTGTATCCACCGTGGATTGGTTTTTGGTGTGCGACCACAGACAATTTCGATCGGGATCGTTTATGGACCCGGTGTGTACTGGAACCGGATCAACTGACAGCTTCCGCATCAGCCGTGACAACCACCATTGGTGTGTTGCCACAGCATTCTATCACAACTAGTTTAGCCGAGGTTTGGACTCAATTATCCTGGTTTCAACAGATGTGCACGGAAGAGCGACAACGGTTAGCCTCACGAACACACGCATTCTCGCCAGAATTCGAACAGTCATTACGAGTGGTTGAATCTAAACGAGCTCAGTGGGATGTGACTCAATCGGACTCGCGACCCAGTTGGTGGATATGGCTAGCTCCGTTCTGGTGGGCTGTCTATGGGGCAAATCAGACCCCAGTGACCACAACCCCGACCAATCAATACTTGACCGAGTCGACCACAGAAACGCATAATGCGGTTGGTGTGGTTAGTCCACTGACTCGTGGTTTTCAACTCCCCTCGTGGGTGGATTCGTGGAGCAGTGCCGGTTGGCTTGAATTCGGCCTGAGTATGAACGATCGATGGCAAAGTCTGGTCGCTAACGTGCACCTACGCTGGCATAAAGCATGGCTAATCGCTTACCTGACAGGTTTCGCGTCCGCAGTGGGCATCCTGTTCGGTATGATTTTGATTGTGATTTTGTGTTTGGATGAGACCAAACGTAAACAACTTGTGCACACCATTTGTGGACCGCGGAAATTGAAACGACCTCCGTCTAATCTGGTCCCCATAATGGAAGAATCTCAGTACTTGATGTACACACCAATCAACGGAATGGGTTCAACAAAGTATCCGTGTACCGTTGCTGATGAATATTGTCCACACGGTCGCGGACCACCACAATCGGAATCTGTGGAGCCTGAGGTGAATAAAAATCGTAAATTTTCTCGTCAAGATGAAGGTTTTCTGATGAACGACAACAATTTGTGGTGCTCGCTGAATCCAAATGCAGAAATGTTAGCACAGAAACGTAATTCGCCAAGACAATCGCGAAATGGACATTCACACGGGACAGATCTGGCTTATGAAAGCGCGCATGCGAAACCAGATTGTTTTCGGCGTGCCGAATCGACCTGTCCCTGTTGGCCAGTTCGTGATTTGAATTGTCTACGTTATCAGCAACAACTAAATCATGCGCTAGAACTCATTGTCAATCTGATACGAACTAATGAGAATTTGGACGAATTGTACAAATCGGCAGATTTACGTGCTCAGCTTCAACAGCTCATCTCTGATCGACCAGTTTCCAGTGTGAGTGATTCGATGTGCACCACTACTCAACTATCCCTGTTACGTGGTAAAAGTTCCGGCTGTGATTGTACCCCATCGCACGGAAATTCGTGTAGCGAACGTGTCCTCCCATCCGCACCACCGCCCAGTTACGAACAAGTAACTGACTGAATGTGACTATTGACAACATGAAAAAAAACAACGCCCAGGAACTGGACTTACATGCATCCAACCGAGAGTGCTCGATTGAGACATGACAGTGGGATTTTAGTGTTATCGGTTGTCTTGTCTATTTCGTCGAATGTA